GAGAAGAGGACAACAAACGAGGGGCTGTATATATATATATATATATATCGCCACAAATAGAACTGCCCGGTAAACCGTAGGCAGAGAGAGAGAAGAGGACAACAAACGAGGGGTTGTGTATATATATCGAATATATATATATAGTCAAACAGAGCTGCCCGGTAAACCGTAGGCAGAGAGGGAGAAGAGGACAACAAACGAGGGGCTGTGGCAAATTGTTTCATCGGAGTTTCACAGACTCATCAGGAGGCTGAACCCTCAACAGTCTGCAGAATCCCCTAACTGATTACACTGTAAGTGATAATCCACCTTAACCCCGGCTGTGGTTAAGCATCAACGACTGCCCGACAACTGGTACCCTGAGGTGGGCACCAACCACTGCCCTCAAGGTACCTGTGGCAAAAGGCAAAGCAGACTATCAATCACCCACACCAGATGGAAAACTCTACAGACTGTCGGTTCACACCCCATCACAAGCAAGCAAAACACCCACGAAACAAAGAAAGGTCTGCCACAGCAAAAAAATACACTCCAGACACGCCGCTGGCACTAGAGGCACAGCATGGCCGTGTAGTGACGGCCCCGACCACTGCCGCTCGACCTGACCGGAGAATACCGTAGCAGGGTGCTAGAGAAGTTGTGGTATATATAGTCAAACAGAGCTGCCCGGTAAACCATAGGCAGAGAGGGAGAAGAGGACAACAAACGAGGGGCTGTGGCAAACTGTTTCGTCGGAGTTTCACTGACTCATCAGGAGGCTGAACCCTCAACAGTCTGCAGAATCCCCTAACTGATTACACTGTAAGTGATAATCCACCTTAACCCTGGCCGTGGTTAAGCATCAACGACTGCCCGACAACTGATACCCTGAGGTGGGCACCAACCACTGCCCTCAAGGTACCTGTGGCACAAGTCAAAGCAGACTATCACTCACCCACACCAGACGGAAAACTCTACAGACTATATATATCGTCACAAACAGAACTGCCCGGTAATATATATATAATTGGACTAACAGCTAGGGTATATACATAATTGGACTAACAGCCCAGGTCAACTTGGTTGCCCGGGCAGCCCGGCCAGGCAAGGGCTCTCAAAAAAAGACCGAAAAAAATCCGGAAAAGGAACCATCTTGTCCAGAAAAAATAAACTGCACAACTTTTGCCTCAGGGTCACATCGCAGTTCTTTGCCAAACTAAAAATAAAATAATAATATTATAATATACTATATAGGTAACACTTCCCGACAGTGCGGGTCCGCTATGTTCTGGACGTCTGGCACCTGTCCGTTTTTCCAGACGTCTGGACTGATCCAGATGTATGTCCAGTTTTTGGTCTGGTTTGGTCTGGTGTCTGGGTCTGCGGTTGCAATTATTCGCACCATGTCATTGCAACATAACATCACAAAATACAACAATTCATCATTCAGAGGGCAATTGCTCAGACCACCAGTACCTTCCCCCTATGTTGGCCATGGGCCCCTCACTGCGACTTTCAGAGGCCTGAAACGGAACACGGGCCGTCGATGAAATTTATCGTCCGCTTGCCTTCCGCGTAACCCGCCGCGGTATTGTTTTTTTTCAAGCGGGGAAAGGTACTGGTGGTTCACTAGTCATCCTTCAACCCACCAGTGCACCCAAGCCCGGCGGATTTGCACTGGGCGCCAAGCTTTGTCTGGCATGGCCAGCCACTATGGTACGAGCCTCTAACAATCGATGCAACAACAGAGTAATATCCCTTGGCTATGATGTGTCCGCCCATACTAGTCTCCTACTTGCCTACTCACTCTAACCTACTACCTCTGACTCTCACTCCACTTTCCGCTCACCAGATGCCGTTAAAGAGTCTGATCATACTGCACTCCTCGGCCAACGCCTCGTAAGCATCCGCCAGTTCCCATGTCCGCTCTCCTTCCCAGTCCACCCTGAACACCTGCCACCTCATTCTTGCACTGTGACAGCTTCCAGCCATGGTACACATGCCATCCAGCCACAGCACGCTGCTCTGCCTGGCTCTCACTCCACTTTCC